CCTGAAACTGTTAACACATCCGCTCTGAAGCGCGGCTCACAGACTGTGCTAAAGAACCCCACGGTCCAAGCATCAAACGCCACCTCCCCAACCTCACCTTTCTGTTCCCTGGCTGCTCAGTCTCTCATTCTCTCCCTGTCTCTCTCTCTCTCTCTCCCCCATGTCCTACTGCCCATGAGCTATTCATGGAGGGGATTACAGCAGTTGTAATGACCACCTGTCCTTACTCCATCACTGTATTGTGCTATGCTAGGCCAAGCAGTAAGCATCCCGCTAGCATTAGAGGGCCAGGGTGCTAACTGGTGACCCCTGTCTTCTACCCAAGCCAAAGCCATCCATGATGGTCTAAGTCTCACTAAGTCCTTGTTATTCATCTTTCACATAGTCTTCTATTGTACAGTCTGCATGTTGGGGGTCTCAACTGATCTCTGAACACATGGCTGAGAGTATCGTCTCTCTGCCCTGTGATGAACTATGAACTAATGCTCTTTCCTGGGTGTGTGAGGACTGATTCAAAAATAATTGGTGTATGTTATTGATTTATTATCATTATATTATCGTCAATGTATTGACATATTATTTAATACATTTAGCCTAGAAAACTATTCTTAGCCTTATATAATCTTAACATAGCATCACCTGACCTGAAATGTATTTAATACTGTATTTTACTAAGTCAAACACAGTCTGCAAGGACCTTTTTCTTCCTTCAAAACTTCAGTGAATATATGTGAGCTAACTGACCTTACACTAACGTTCATCAGGCCTGCTCTATTCTGGTGGTTTAACCCAGTGGGTGAAGGCAGAGTCAGCAGAGAGCACCACGCTGAGGTGTCCACTCCAGCAGAGCCCCAGCTGAGACCACAGTGGAGATCAGGCTCCGGGGTCTGGACTCCATATGCTGAGGTCTGAGGTCCAGGCAGCCAGCGTGGTCCCAGCACATGGAGGGCAGATGGGGGGCACATTAGTTCAGGGGTGGTAGTGGTAGAGAAGGTGCAGGAGTGGGGGTGTCTCCTGCAGCTCCACCAGCATTGTACAAGGAGGACAAGAGCTGAGGAGAACCCAGCAGGAGAGTGAGGGGCCTTTTCTAAAGAACGATCAACTGGAGCTCCTTTTCTCACACACCACTCACTCACTCACTCACACAGAAACACACACACACTTTCCTTGGCAGAACGACACACTAGCTGTGGCTGAAATGTGATTTTCTTGCACTTTATGAAACCATGTTCTGCCCCACGCCTCCTCTTCCCACCCACAAATCTATTCTGCACTGGAGATAAACCCAGCCACGTCGCTTTGTTTTCAAATCATCTGGTCCACATCAAAGTCACCCATGAGTGGATGGTTAGAAAAGGAGAGAGGGGCCAGGGTTGAGACATTGCTTTGGCTTTTGCCTCACACAATGCTTCTCATTTGAATTCCCCCATATATTGCTGATCACCCTTGTGAATGGTGCCCCTGATGAAGTGTTGTTTTTGTGGCTCCTCGCAGGAATTCCCAGACCCCGGGGATACATTTTCCTCTTTTTGTCTTTGACATCAAAGTTATGTGGAACGGTGCGTGTTGGAATGAAGACACTGAGGGGTCAACAGGTCCATCGCCGGAGGTTGTTTACCAACATTCTCACCAAGTCGGGCAGCATTAAAACTACAGAGTCTCCGCAGGGTGTTAAATAAAAACATTTTTCAGGCATTGAGGTGTTTTCTGAGTCTGAATCCCTGTCATGTGCCCTTTCATGCATTAGCTAAAAGGAAGCCCCCGCCCCATTGTTTTGATGAACCTTTAATTCACGGGTTACACCCCACAGTGTATAAACTCGTCCTGGTTCAATCTGCGTGTTGCTAAGGCTTGTTTTGTTTGTGTGGGGACATGGAATGGGCTTAATTAGATGTTGAACACGTTTTCTAAAAGGTTACACTCAACAGTGATATTTCCCTTGTTATTTACATAAAAAACTTTAAAGTGCTTCGTTAACATTGTTATCATTTTTTATATTTCGCATTTTCTTTTACAGTTTATTAGGTCACCCTGCCCCATGAATGTATCAAAACCTGTTTACAAATTTTCACCAGCAGCCCCATATCACCTTTGAAACATGCCAGTCTGCTGCCCTCTGCTGGCCAAACTAAGAAAATCGTACCAAAAGCAGTATGTAATATAACAAGTTGTATTATTAAGTATATTAAAGAAATATAAAGCTGAAATATAGCCGATACTCCAAAATATATAGCCGAAATTAAAATATGTATGTATTACGTATCTGTAAATACGTTTCACTACTTTGGTGAATCGTTTATAAGAATGTTGGGTTTAATTAAATTATGTAAGTTTAATTTCAATTATACTTTTTTTCTATTTTTTTTTATTAGAGAATATAATAAAGACAACTGCAATTAATAGATATTTATACTGACTATTACCACCAATAACCCATTTCCTAACATTACCACGGACCAACAACGGAAGTGTGTTTTTATTGTCTTCCACAAGATGGCAGTAGGAGGCAAATATCAGACGACACGATTTTCTGTATGAGAATTTCCACACAAGAAATAGCATACTACAGTTTACAGTTAAGAGTACTATTTGTATACAGCAAATACAGAACCAAAAAAGAACAATTAAAAGTATTATATTAATTATTAGCTTCAATTTTTAGAGATGTCAACAAACAAAGTAATTTAATCTTTATTTCACCGTTAACCTTCCTAATTAAATTAGGAATTTATTCCTTTAAATTATAAATTCATTAAATTAAAAAAGACTGCAGTAATGGATGACTCCTGGGTCATCCAATACTGCAGACTTTTTAAATGTATTTAAATGTTTTTCACTGTTTTATTATCCCGTTTTTCTGTTTGGTCATTTATTTGCATCTACAGCTTTGCTTCACACTGCGGTAAACAACACATATTTTCATGAAGAAACTTGATCATGGTCATTTAGGCGAGCATGGAATCTGGCAGTGTTCTCACAAAAATTTTAACTGAACTCTGCCAACTGGGAGAGGCTCTGGTGAGTTGATATGAATCAGTTGTCAGTGAGATGTCACACACTTCACAGCTGCCTGACATCAATTACAATGTTTCCATCTGCTCTGTGGGAACAGGTCAGGGCACAGTGTAGCAATTTTTTCAAAAGCCTCCAAATAAAAGACACAGGTGAAAGCAGGTTGGTGTGCAGGGAATCAAACTTCTTTCTCCCATCATGTGTAACACTTTACTGCACCTTTGATAAAATGTACTTGAATTGAAAGTTTAACAAAAACCAGAAGGTTCTCGTGTTGTTGAGAGCTTCTTAAGACCAGAAAATAATGCCTTTGTCTTGATAATGATGATCATAGGCAGGACTTCAGCAGTTGTCGACCTGTCACTGAGGAATCCTTGTGGACTTGGTCTTGGCACACAACTTGTTTTGGTAACTGACAGCAGGGTGCAAAGGCATTATTCCACGTAGTTGTTTTTACTTCCAACCTGTCACTGTGAGGAGATTCAAAACCGTCGACCCATGATTGATAATGGCCTGAGAGACGTGTGGAGGGTATGATGCTTTACTGGTCTTCCAGGGTGAAACTCAAGGTTCAGTCAGGCAATGGAGGAAGTAAAATAGTATTTATGTAACATACAGCAGAGGTGTTGAGCCGCCTGTACTGTGAGGCTCAGTCAGTTGTTCTGGACTGGTGCATCTGTGTAGAAAACATCTGTGCATAACAGGTATTCATGGAATGATTACAGTGTAGAAAAGAGACTTCTTGTTAGGACAGAAGGTTTACTCTTACACACAGGTTCCAATGTCACCTCCTAAAAATTAGACCCAAACACTGTGGAAACTGAAATCACAATTTATCTTAACTTTGAATTTATAAAGTGTTAAAGAATTAATTTGTCTTTCAATATGAAAATGCAATAAAAATTCAAATTATAACTTAGAAGAGAAGTAAGCAGTACAATGAGTACTTTAGAACTCTCTGGAAATAACTCTGGAAAATAATGTATTAATTCACTGCTTACTGCTGAGATTTGTGTTTCAGTATCAGTTGAAGTAGAGACAGACTGTCTGGTGAAAACTTGTGATTATTATCTGTCGTCCTGCAGTGGACAGGACTGCTACCTCACTGTGACTGTGTGTGGGAGGTATGATGAGTGATATCTGCAAATGCTGGAAGAACATCTAGTTCTTTGGAGTTCAAACAGGATTAGCTAAGTGGAGAAAATAGACTACTACAAAAAGATGTCAAGAAGGAAGCATGGTGGAAAGTGGTTAGTGTTCTTACCCTACAGAACAAAGATCACCAGTTCGAGTCCTGGTGACTTTTGTGCTGGATGAAATATGCATGTGTGAAAGGTTATCTACAGGTACTGTGGCCTACTTTTACAGTCCAAATCAGCTGGTTAGGTTAACTGTTCACTGTAAACTGACCAGGTAGGCATGGGAGAGTGAATGGTTGTTGTTGTCTCCATATGTGGCAGCCCATGGGCTAGCAGATAAAAAAGATGTATAATTTGATCAATAATAAAATGATATAATAGTGATTTAATTATTTCACTAACACCACTTGACCAAAATGACTGTGAACTAAAACGTTGATGATCAGTAGATAAAACTTGTTCTTTATGTAAGTTTTAAAACAATTTTAAAAAGTACATGCAACATTTTTTATGAACAATTTGTTCTGATTTATTGTTTCAAACAAGCACTTTTTTCCACTATAAAAATTGTTTTTAATACAAAAGTTTGACATTTAATGATTTAATGTCAAATGCTATTTTGAGATTTATAATATATAATATAATACGATACTGTATAATACACCTTTCTGGTCTCCATGGTTTGATTCTAGAAAAAAGGTACATCTTTAATTTGACGCCAAAGACAGAGACTGTTTGATGAAAATTGCTGACCTGAGTCTCACCCTGAAATGTTACACATTTGTCAACAATGCACGTGTAAAAGCCATGAGAAAGTCGGTAGGATGAAAGCAGTCGCTCCACATCTGAGCCAGTACCTGTGGGTGGAGTGAGTGCACCTGCGGACACCGCTCATTCTGAGACGTTTATGGCTTTAATAAGGACGCACGGGCTGCTGAGACATATGTGCCATGGACGCTAAGCCCCAGCTTCTGGACCTGAGCTCCAGCCACCCAGTGTCTAAAGGTCAGGTTGGAGGTCAACCAGAGAAACCTCCATATTCCTACGTGGCTCTCATCACCATGGCCATAAAGGCGAGTCAGGGAGGAAGACAAACTGTGAGCGGCATTTACGATTTCATCACCTCCAGGTTTCCTTACTATGAGAAGAATAAGAAAGGCTGGCAGAACAGCATCAGACACAACCTCTCTCTGAACGACTGTTTCCTGAAGGTACGCCGAGACACCAACGCAGAGGGAAAGGGAAACTACTGGATGATAGACCCCGCTTTTAACGAGATGTTTGAACCTGGAAAATACCGGCGTCGCAGGCAGCGGGTGAGGAGACCCTGCACACCCCCGACGGTACCTTACCTGTCTAGGAACCCGGTGGAGTTTCCTATGGAGCCTTTCTACCTGCCGCCCTGTTCTTGGACCAGCCTGTACCAGCCACTGCCCGGCTCAGGATGCCCAACACCGCCTGTCTTCTCGGCTCACACCCACCGTACCTTCTATCCGCCATCACACCTCCACCACCAGACGAGTTGCCCGTACCAACAGCTGCCGGTGCTGCTGCACCACAGCGGCTGTTCCTTCAGTGGAATGACGCAGCCGTTGAGCACCGACCACGGCGCAGTGTCCACCTATTCAATACAAGCAGAGTCGCAGGTTCTCCATTCATTTGACCATTGAGATTGATATCAACAAATACAGCATTAACAGCCAGTTCACAGACTGAAAGTTCACTTCTGTTCGGCTGTGCCATTTCCTAAATGGTTCGTAAGTTTTGGTCGGTCAACAGTTGTTAACTTGACCGTTGATCAAGTTTTGAAAAACAATTTTCCTGTCTTAATAACTTTATTTTACCACTGTAAAAAGTACGAAATTTTGTTAATGAAAATGGCGCCATCAAGTGGACTGCAAGTGTGGTTTTGACTTAAGTTTATGTTCGTCTTTTGCAACGGCAGACTCCTTTGTTTTATCCATTTTGTTTACACGCACAAATGTTCCTACGTTATTTATTCGGTTTTGGTTTATCATTGATTTGTTATAAAACGTTTGTGAGTGAGGAATTTGTGTCGTTTCCTTTGATTAAGTTGTTTCAAACGACATACTGGTTGATATTAAATGTTTATTTTTGCACTCTGTTGTCTCGTCGACTGACTTCATCTTCAATTGTTTTAATTTTAATTTTACAATGGTTAAAACACTGGACTGGCATAAAATATTTTAGTCACAGGAACTGAAACATTGGACAACGTGTCAAATCCCGACCATTTATGAAGCACTACAAAACATCAGGATTCAAATAGCGTTTACATTGGCCTTAATTAGGGAACAGCAAAGAAAAATGAAGGGTGACAGGGTGGTAAACGACAACCTAACGTGGTTAAAGAAATAGGTTGATAAAATGAAAAGAAAAAAAACTAACTAATGGGGAAAAAATGTACTCAATTCGCTCTATTAAGCAGAAAATATTGGATGTGTAGCTGCTTCACGTCATTTCCTCTTCCGGTGTAGAGGCGTGTACAAAGGATATCTTTGCCGCGTGCTGGTCGTCTTGTGCCAAGTGTTTTCTAAGTCTTCTAAACTGTACAGCTTCCATGTTCTTGAGTTAAGAACACTGACAGTGTTGGTGGAACATGGAGGCGTTTCACAACATCATGCTGGACTATCCGGAGTTAATGTATGGAGGAGTTGGCGTGACAGCGTTTGTCACCAGTGGAGCGCTCATTTACAAAATTGCTACTCGGTAAGTTTAATTTATTATATTGGATAGCTTAGAGTTATTCTTTAAAGCTGAAATGTAATAACTCGCAATTGCCATAAAATAGTGTCTCGCAGTGTGATGGGAGAGAACTCCTGAATAATGGCTTGTTTATGCACGTTAGCACAGTGCCTATCTTTGCTAGCAGTGGTGCTAAACAACTTTCATAAGCAAGGTTGCAGTGGCTTTAGTTAAACTGTCAACTAATTAATTGTGCAAAAATTTCAAACTTTTAATGAGTGTCAGTGTTTTCACTATGTGACATCTGCACGAACGCAACAAATGCTTGCACGCAGGGGCAATCAAACAATTCGATCATGGGATATACCAGTTAATTTTGATTAACGGTCTGTTATTGGTTAAAGCCAAATCTCTGGTTAGCTTTTTTAGCTAATCAGTAACTCATCAGATAATAAATAAAACGTCTGAACAAAAAACAGATGTGACAGATTGTCCATATGTTTTGTAACATTAATGTCATTTTTATTTTTCCTTAGCGAGAACTGAGGACTTATTTAGTACTTAAGTAGTTAAATATAGTCGATTAGTTATTGTTAATTCTGTTATTATTGGTGTTTTTCTTTTCGTTTAATCGAAGTTAATGAAAAATGTATGATCTACTTTGAATGTAAATATATTAGTCAATAATTTAACCAGAAATGTTCAGGTTGTTAAAGTTAGCAGTTGTATTAAAAACAATGGAAAAAAAATTGATTGGAATAAAAAAAGTTAAAATAATAAACAACTAAAGGCCATGTCAAATTGTCCCAGTTCTGGTTGGACACAGAGCTGGACTGTGGGTGTGTCATATGTGGCACCACACATAAACTGTTCCAGTTTACATTCTAAAACCTTCATAAGCCACTGAACTAATGCATTGACTAACCAACTGTGCCACATGAACTTTTACAAACTCCACCTGTCTTTTGCAGAAAGAAGCCAACCCATGCAAATGTGAACTGTTGGTTCTGTAATGAGAATACAGTGGTGCCTTATGGGAACAGGAACTGTTGGGACTGTCCCAACTGTGAACAGTACAATGGCTTCCAGGAGGTAAGTCAGAAAAGTATGACAGCGGTCAGACCTCATGTTAACAACTGTTGTGTGAGACCGAACCACAGTGTGGTTTTCATCACAACTGCTGACATCTGGTATTAAAATGTATGTAAGGTCCCCTCCCCCCACCACTTGTCATCAGTCAGACACCTGTCATCTGTGAACAGACAGAGAGGCACAGTGCTAATTTTGTTAGCGTGGTCACTTAACACCAAGATGTTATGATCAAGACTCTTTAGAGGCAGTGACACTTCTACCTCTTTACCTCAGAATGGTGACTACAATAAAACCATCCCAGCCCAGTATAAGGAAGACCTGAATCATGGAGTTTCTGGAAGTGTCCCCTCATTGGAGACAACAAAGACACTGCAGTGGGTCAACTGTCAAATGCTGCTGTGCAAAAAGTGCAACAACAACCAGTCCTTGAAGATCAAACAGTTGGCCTCATTTATCCCAAGGGACGATGTAAGTGTTCTTTTTATCCATCTATTTTAACTAATGCACACGACACAGCATATGTCCCAGCAATTGAAACAAAAATACATTATGGTTGCACCTTGTAGGAAAACTTTGATGAGGAAATTGAAGCCTACAAGCATCACCTGGAGCAGACCTACAAGTTGTGCCGGCCCTGTCAGACAGCAGTGGAGTATTACATTAAGTATCAGAACCGTCAGCTCTGCACGCTGCTCCTCAACCATCAGCTGCGACGCTCCAGAGACTCAAAAAGCTTTGAAAAGGTTAGCACAACAGCTGGCTGGAATCTGTTTTCACGGTTTAGTTTCAGTATTCAGAATATGTCGGTGACAGCTTCCTAGCACTTATCTTCAACGTAAAAAAATATGATGGTAAGCACACGTTTTAGGGCAGAAGTATAAAACTCGATCCCCCAGGGGATTAAAATTAAAACACAGTTGCTATTGCAGGCCAAACAGGATGAATATATTGAACAGTCTAGTGCTGACAATGCTTCAACCAGAAATATTGAACTGACTTCATCAACTTTTTCCTCAATAAAATAAATCCAAAACGTAAAATATTAACATAATGGAAACTAAGAATATTGTAAACAAGAATACATACAAGATGTAGTATTTTGTGTAGGTGCATTGTGATTAGAATTTGAATTATTTAGCATGATATTCGTACATACTTTGACCACTGTATTTAACTCTTAGCTCTGTTGTCCACAAAAAAGTGGTGTGTATGTGGTGGGAAGGTTAAGGCCCAGAGGCCTTGGGTTTGATGTATGTGTTTTAAGGCAGTAATGTGACACTGTAGTAGATAATTCTTTCTACAGTTTTTGTCTTTAACAGTTCGCAAGGAACCAGCACTGTTTTTGACTTTACTTTCAAAAACATTTGTTGTCCTTTTTTGTGATTCTATCCCATGAAACAGCATTGTTGTTAATTTAAAAAAAAAAACTCTTCTTCTTGTCATCAGAGCTCCTGTTCCCTGGCATCTCCTGTGGGAGTCACACTGTTACGGGCACTCGCCTTCCTGGTTTGCTCTTTCCTCGTCGCCACTTGTTTCCTTGACTTTCCAGCGCAGCCTCTTTCATCCAATGGCTCACATTCAGTAAGCAGTGTTACCATCTCTTCTTCTAAACCCTCAAATGAATCCAACACTGAAAACAGCGGCAGTGTTGACGGTCCTGTATGGCAGAGGTGGTTGGAGCTGATCCCAAATAATACGATGCACACTGTCAAAGTGATGTGGCAACACGGAAAAGACAACCAGCTGGCTGTGGTCTCTGTGGGCCTGTTAACTTGCCTCACTTCAATCTTCTTTGCAGGACCTGCGAGGTAGGTATTCACCGGGTTTTTTTTTCACACTGGGTAGTCAAGGAAAAGTACTCCTTACACTAATGTCTGTCTGTCTGTGCTTTCAGGCTGAGGAGAATCGATGCCGTGGCCTCGGTCTTGTGGTTTGTGATTCTGTGCCTCTTCCTGACTGACACCTACTGGACAGATGTCTGCAGTTGGATGGACACAGCCAAACACTGTAGCATCGTTCTCTGTTGCCTGCTCAGCCTCACCGCTGCTCTGGCAACACGAAAACAGCTCGGTCCACGGAGAGGCAAATATCGAAGGTCAGAATCTGAACAGTGAAGTTCATGTTATATTTAAATGTGGGAGAAACTTCAGCTTACATTAGAGGTTCCCTTCAGAAGTGTCTGATCAAAACACACATACTGCTTTGTCACTGAACAAAGTATGCACGGTTTTTTACTCTTTTGGGTTTTTTAAATAACTTTTTAACTACCATAGTGGAACAACTATGGGGAAAAGAAAAGAAAATGTGAATGACGAAACTCAACGGCAGTCGTGTGTGTGCCCATGTGTAAATACAGATAAACCATGATGGTAATGAGAAACCAGTGTTACTCAGTTAACCATGTCCAAACCTCAGTTTAATCCAAATGTTTGCTGTTAAACAGTCTGTTTGTAAAATACAACAGCTTAAAACACACACATGAATAGCTTTATTTCAATATTTGCTAAGTTCGTGCTTTAGAAATATTTGGTGGGAAAATGTGTCACAGTCAAGTTTAAATTCTTTGTCACTAAACACAAATCACATTGGTGAGTTCCTGTAAAATGTAAATATACTGCCAAATGGTGAAAAAGAACAATTTTCATTTTTAATAACACTAACCTTTGTATTATTAGCTGTTCTATGATAATTCTGAACCTAGTGTTGTAGTGCAGCTATAGGACATTATTATATTATGTATAAAAGTCACTATATTAATGGCACTATAGAGTTTTGGTTATGTAATTTTTTAGGCCTCTGGCTTAAGTATTTAGTCCTTCTGTAGGAAATGCACTGCACTAGTGATGAAATAACTGTCCTTAGTTGTAATTATTGCACTTAAATGGTTACATAAAGGTTTGATATTTCTATTTAAAGAAGAACATTGTCGAATGTGAAAATGCATTGACACTATTTAAAATCACTGCGGAAAATGCCTCTTAAGATGATCAGAAACTTGATGAGACGGTTTCACATGTGGCCTGAGATTTCTGGAGAAAAATACTTTACTTTCTTTTACTACAAACCTCCTTTTATATGATCTTTGACATCTCATCCAAATTTCTTTCCCAAGAGCTGTCTTGAGAGCAGCGTCATACTCCAGAAAGCTGCAGCAGTTGATCTTGAACCTGTTGATGATTTAACAGGTTAGGCATTAAACTGTAAAAAAAAAAAAACAGAAAAGAAAATCTTCACATTCATACGAACAACATCACTAGATATATCCGATGTGAACAAGTACACATGTACTGTTCACATTTTCTACTACTTTTTAAACACAGCTAATACATGTAACATGAAATATGTCATTAGCACTAAGTAGTTTATTTTTAACATGTTAACACTGATTCAATTGCATGCACTAATAACGTCATCACTATATTAGCATTAGCAATTTATTTAAAATATTTGAATGGTTGGTTTTTTTGTATTTAATGTTGTGTGTGGTGGGGTATATATTTTGAAGAATGACTTCCTGTAACAGTAAACTGAATATCATGTCTTATGATAAAATTAAAAGATATTAGACTTAATATTTTTTTACCTTATTGGGTGACAATAATAACTTTAGCTACAGCTGTATAACTATACATTTCCATTTCATTTGGAAACTGCTGCACACACTCACACTAAAGCACCAAGAACAGCCATAATATTGAGTCGCAATATTGATGTGCCAAAGCTTTAGTTTTATCTGTCTCTTCTCTTACAACCTTACAACCACGCAAGCAAAAAGTAACTACATTTTTGTTGTATTTTTTGAGTCACAAATATTGAAACAAAAGCTTAAATACATCAGCAGGAGAAAATGTGTGGATAATGAATCCCAAACTTGAAGAATCGTGGTGTGATTTAGGTTTATTGAAAGACTTGGACATTGACAGTGGAAAGTTCTGCACCTGGATGTATATTCATTATTATTATGGAGACATTTGTTCTCTTTGCCATTGTGTTATTGTGTGTTTCCTGTGTGTTTTGGTGTGTATGTTGTTTTACGTTACAGTGGCCAGAAGAATGTGAATCCTGTGGACAGATATTTTTTAATTAAATGTACTGGAAATGAGATACATGCAATCTGCTTAGGCTAATGTCAAAGCTAACGTTAACTTATAACCATTCATGTCGTGTGAAAACACTTTGGTTTTCCCAGCAGTGGAGTGCAGTTAGGGTAGTGTTGTGCAGAGAGGCCTAGAGCGATGGTAAATCAGGTGCAGAAATTCCCACACATTCTACTTGATTTTACAGGAAATGCATTTAAATGTAATGACTTAAGTGAAAACAATACCACTGGATCACATTTCCACTGTATTTGATATTTACAATCTGTAGCCTGTTGTGTGGTTGTTTTTAGAATATATCTGTATCTACCTGATGTTTTTTCTTTTCTTTACTGGTGTTCAACACGAGTACCTTGTTAAACTGGAGCTTGATATTTAGGCTTTTCTTTTACCATCATAAATTACAATTTTTGTTGATATGACATGATACTTTTTATTACACTTAAATTGGGTGCTGCTTAGTTTTACAAGCAAAACACAAGTGTTTTACTGCCAAAGTTTAAAAATGATCAAACCCATAATAAGCTGTTCAGCTAAGGGTGAGTTAATATCCACACAGACTGTGGGTTTAACAATGACTGTCATGAAACTCTGGTTGTACAAACAATAATATAACTAATGACAGTTTTGACAAACTGACCGATAGGCTCGACTTCCTAGTTTGTCAGAAACTCTCTGGATTGACCTACATTTTGGGAAATATTTTTATAAATAACAAGGGCCTTAAATTACCCTTGTCCTCTTCTGAAGACAAACTCAACATGTTTATGGGGTGAACAGAAGCATCATCAGGTTGGAGACAGTTCGTCTGGAATTTGTCATTTTCCGCATTTTACCAATCAGATAAGGAGTCGGTTTATTGAGAAGCCTATCCCAATAGGTTCTATCATGTCTTTGTCAAACCTGTTAGTGTGCCATAGGTAACATTTTTAGTCAAATTCCTTTACGAATCATTTCACAGCATTGTTTTCCTTTTTCCTCCTCTTGAGCTTAAGCGCTCCTGGGTCAATGATGGAGTAATAACACACACAGCTTTACCTTAAAGCAAGTGCAGTGTTTGTTTTCCCCCTGCACAAATATAAATAAAGTAATGACATTTTAAATCTTTAATGGTTCGTTTTAAATGTCCTTTCACCTCTTTACTGATAGAATTAAAAAGTTCACGGCAACACAGCAGTGAGACATCACAGTGAGTGTGCTGAATGCTTTCTTGCCAAAGTTGTGTGTTTTGCTATCTATGCTAAGCTCCATTGGAAACCATTGTAGGAATGAATGTTCTGCATGTAATGAACTGAAATAAACGACTGGTGAAAGGACATGTTTTTTCCTGTTTTTTTACGCAGACACACACAGTGATGATACAGTCAAGCACTGTGTAAGGAAAATATGAACTTATCATTTGATCACTAACTAGAGTTCATACACTGTACAGCTTTGTAGAAATGAGTGAGTGACATAGATCTCTGTAGTTTCTGTTGTCGTAGTAAATTCAGCTGCAACGTGTTATCTTACAGTAACAGCTTCTTTTTTTTTTTTTGTTACTGGCAGATAAGGCTGTATAATGTCATCCTAGCCGGTGAACACTGTCACTGTGGGCTGGGAAGTTTCTGCCCTCAAACACAGTGTATTGGCATTTGTGGCATGTGATAATCAAAAATAACTCAGACTTTTATTTCCTCCTCATTAAGGACTGAAAAATTACACAGTTCCATAACTATAAATATTTTTTCAAATCTAATTTCATAAAGTTAATACATTTAAAGCATTTGATGTTTTGTTGATTTGTATTTTCTTCTGGTACTAGAACATTCTGTTGCTCTTGTCTTGCAGATACCTAGCAGGCAGCTCCACAGCCTCCACCTTCAGCAGCCAGTCTCCTGACCCGATGGAGTCTTTTATTCCCACTCCACCTCCAAACCTTTCCCATCTCCTCAACTGCCAACAGAGTCGCAACAAGTGCCGTGACTCCCCCTCCTCCCTGCCTGGACGACTAAACAGGACCCTCTGCCTCGGCACCCTGCCCTCCATCAAAAGAACAGGTAGTTGTTTCTCTTTCTCCTGGTGTGAAATGTGAACTGAAAGCGAAAGAGGTTAGAACTGTTGCACAATGAGTGAATGAGTTACTGCTCATTTCCTTAAGTTAATGTGAATGTGATGTTTTTTTTATTAACAGTTAACATGCAAATATAAATGGCGTTGGTTCATTTTTGTGTTGCAATTAACCACGAGCTGATTGAACAGGGACTGCATATATTTACAAGTATTTGAGACTTTGAGTCAAACAATCTTGGTTTCTTTTCATTTGTTTATCCAAAAAATCCTGCAAATGTTTTATCTTTTTTCTAGTGATTACAGATCTAGATCCCTGTGTTCCAATTTTAATAACCTAATGTTAAGCATGTAACAGCATTGTGTGTTTACTATGCTGACAGTTTTCCTGCAGTTAAAAAAAACAAAACCTCAATATATCGTCATGCCTATAATATTGCAGTGTATGGCAATATATTCTATCACCAGATTCTTTCCAATACACACCCCTACTATGTTTCCAGGTTTTTTCCAGTGTACTTTTGTATAGTTTTGCAGTAACCTCTGACAGTCGGTTTCTGACTGACACTAATTCCCTGTGACATGTCATGTGACTCCAGACTCAGGTTACCTGTTCAGTGGCAGCAGACCACCCTCACAGTATAAAGACTCTCCATCCTCAGGTATTTAAACTACGGGCTGTCTCTCCTGTGACCATTTCTAAGTTTGTCATCTTGAACAAAGACCTCGGACTCTTAAAGCAGTTTCACGTCTTTTCACTCTTTTCTTCCACAGACTATTTTTCACTGAAGTCCTGGAGTCACCCATCATCTCCAAGCCACTCTCCCACTCCTTCCATCGCAGGTTCCTGTACGTCCAGCTCGGAATCTGCCAGACGCCGTCCCCTCATCAGTCCCGCTCGCTTAAACATAACCCGTCAGAGACTCTGGATTTTCTCCACAGAACCAGAGCCAAAGCTCTTCTCCACTCAACCTGCCTCACCTTCATACTCCACCGTCGGTCCAGACTCTCCCGTCTACAGTGGACGCTTTTCACCAGACATTCCTCCATTCCAAAGCCAAAATGGTGAGTCAACATTTGGAATGATGACTTTTGAACCAAAGTCAAAGTGGACTCCAAGTCTACACACTCTTTATTCAAAATGGATCTAAAATAAATATTAAACATTTAATAATTCGATGTAGTTGTGGTTTTCCTGTTGATGTACATATCTAACCTTTTATGCTGGTAGATTTCAGTCTGAGAGGCAACAGTGTGGTAGACAGAGAAGAGAGGAATGAGACGTGCAGCTCCTCAGACTCTTCCTCATGTGTGGTTGGTACAACAACACAGGTCCCAGAGATCCCACCTCCTTCAGAAGGTAAGTCTGTTTAAGGTCAGCCTGGTGACTGAAAGTGGCTTGTATCTTGAGGGTTGCCTGTTTAAAAATTGACTTAGACAAAGCGATCTGTTATGAATGCAAACAAAATAGGTCATGACATTTGACCCCTGATTATGATTTTATTTTCTCTGTGATCTCTACAGGTCTATGGAAACGTTTCATGGTTCCAGGACTCCTGACACTGAGCCTGACTGCCAACCTGCTCAGTGTCTGCCTCTGTATGTATCACTACTGGAGTTGAGCTGTTAATGCATCACCATGTTGTTCAGCGAGATGATGGATTTTTTTATTGCATCAGAAATACCTCCTGTGTTTTGTTGGCTTAAAAAGAAAACAACCTAATGTTCTTGAATGTGTGATTTATAACGGCTTTAGTGGTCTTGCCTGGACTCACGTTTGTCTTCTTATTATGTTATATGGAGTCACTAAGGACAAAATGATCCATTAAAAAAAAGATTACAACTATGGGTGAATTAGACTTGACAGATCAGACTCTGTTGTCTCGGAAAAACCTGCACAAATTATTTTCGAAAAACAAGTTGCTAATTTTGAGATTGGTGTACAGACCAACATATTGCTTCTTCTGAAATAATACATTTCTGTGATGCTGCATTTACGCATTAACAGTTGAATGTCATTTTGTGGCACGTTGGCCCAGAGGCAACGTCTCTGTCATTGGTGTGGAACCCCAGGGTTCGCCTCCTGGGCAAGATCGAATCTTGGTTAGGGCGGTTGGTACCTTCCAGTGGACTCACCACCTGCAGGAAGGTTTGGGGGGGTTGGTACGGTGCAGTGTGATTTGGGTGGCAGTCATGGAGACTGCTGCCCCTGTGACCCGGTAATGGATAAGTGTATGAAAATGGACGGATGAATGTCATTTTCTCGTGAAGTTTCTCCATATAAGAGTCTCAGTTATTAAGGTCAACGTTTCCTCAGGAGTTCAGACTTAGCAGCTGGACCTTATGAGAAACGCTGGTCAGGTCTAGTTGCCAAAGTCTAATCTTCTAATGTGAAATGATGATGTTTTAAAGTGTGCACACATTAAAGAACTCCATGGTTGATTTCTTGGGAAGAAAGTTATTGGGAAACACTAAAAACAGACGGAATAGAGCTCATATGTTGGTTGTAATTTATAAGAGTCATCCTCATTTAGTCTTGATTTTCTTAAATCTGTCTCCTGTCTGTGTGTTCTGCCTGGACAGACTTGACTCCATCAGTTTGCATTAAAAATGGTTGATGTTACAGTCATTTAGATCTTATATCATAACTGAAAATGTAAATATTTTATTTGCAGATCCTTTGTCTTCAACTTATATGGGTAAAGGTTTTTTAGTCAAGTGCAATACTGTTCTTACATGTATGAAAGTATATTCACATTAAGTTGCCATTAGCTTGAAAAAGATGCACGGTCACATTACTGGTTATAAAAGCTACAAACTTTCTTTACAGCTTAAACATTTGTTTGTTTTTCCTCGTTTTTGATTTGTTTTTGTTTAATTTAGGCAAAAAATTGTGCGTTGGCCTCAACATAAATCTGTTGACTGAAATGTAATTTATAAATTGTAACGGTGTAAATAAGCCCACTTATCTTGGTATCTGGATATGAGCGGTGGAGATTTTTGGGGGGTTTCACTAGCATGAAACATTTGCTATTTTTAAAAATGTAAAAAAAAAATAGAGCACAGAATAATCACTGAAATTGTTAAAAGGGGTCTTAAAAAGTTAGACTACTGTAGGACAGAAAACTACCATTAGATGATCTGAATAATAGTTTAATTTTTCAAACTATTGTTAGAATCAACACTGCATTTGTATGTGATTTGGAACCTGGAGTTTATTTCTTCTCTGAAGAAAATGTGTAAACTGAAAGATGAAGTACATGTTAAAATGTAACTGCTCTTTCTTTCTGACTGCTCTGTGGAACTCAGTGTGAACTCGTGAATGAATTGGTATTTATTTTCACTTTTGTAAATAAAATACAGTGCTTTACTTTAGCAACAACTTAAGTGAAGTGAACTCTTTAACAATCACAATGACTGTGTTGTTGTTGTTTAAGGTGTGATTTTCGACCTTTTTTGGCGTAACCTGTTGATGCGTATGTTTGTGTGTGGAACACATTTTGACCTTTGTATGTGAATGAGAAGCGACACTGGCTTGTTTCAATAAAATGTTATATTTCTATCTACTATAATTTGTGTTGTGGACAATGAAGGTTTTTAAGCAGGCTTTGCTAAATTTGCCCCCTTCTGGCAACAACCGTACATTGTACCTTAGGTTTACCTTTGTCTGAGTCAGATATAACAAGGCAAACATTCAAGGGTAACACAAGGACAGTCAACAAAGGGTCTTCCCCAAACAACAATGTTGGTTAAATGTTAAAGGCTGGGAAGAACAAAATGAACTGAAATATGTTTTTAATGTTTTATTTTAGAATAAACCAATTACAAAAAATGCCAACAACTACTAATCACTACACACAAGCCCTCACTAAAAGCAGTGGTTCCAAATGTGTGGGGCACTGGCCCCTAGTTGGGCACAGAACTAATTTGATTTTAAAATGGTTTTCTTTATTTGTGCCAAAAAATATATATAATATAATAGTTTTGTTTAAAAAAGAAAGTAGTTTCAATACTCACTCAATAAATACCATTAACGCTGTGAAGCCTAGTGGTAGCATCATGCAGTTCCACATGATACCATGAGGCTGTTTGGAACTTACATACCCTCCCCAGGTCATTGGGGTTCATATTCGTTGGGTTTTGTTTTTTTTAATTGTGTTTGAAACTTTTGTTTTTTGACTTGCTCGGAGTGTCACACTGTGCGTATGAACCACTATACGTACTGATCTATGATGACAAAAGCTAATATTACCTAGCTTTACACTTTCTATTTTACACTGACTTCATGGTTCACGGTTAAAAACTGTTCAATTCCTTTTCTTTTTGGTGAAAGCTGAGGAGCCAGTTCACACAACAGCTCTGGCCAAAAGTTTCTCTTCTGCACAGTCTCTTCCTGTTTTCAACAGCCGGTCTGAAGTGCACTCACAAACATTGTGTTCTTTAAGGGTACAACAACTGGAGCTGTGAGAGATTATTTAACACAATCAACAGGAAACCAAAGATGTCACCACTATTGACACCTGCAAAACAGAACTGAAAAATAACAAAACAAATGTTTCCACCACAAATGTAGACAAATTAAAACGTGTGAAAACACATGTGAATACGTATTTCTCATCAGAAAGATAACGCTCGGCTGTTTACGTATCTTGACCACTGCAGCTTGTGTTTCACTCAGTGGTGACTATCTTTAGCAACAAAATACAATTGCTATGTATAAAGGTTTCTTGCTGGAATTTTTGCAATTACTAATTTTTTTAATTAAACACTCTGCAGATGTGTACAAGTCCAGTTATTTAATATCTGTTTTTGATTTTGGGTGCCGTTGGAACCAGTCCAGAAAGGTGCAAAAGTTAGAAGAAGAAAAAAACAAACAAAAACAAATCTAAGATTCCATGATAGCAAAATTACAAAGAAAAAGACCAATAATACTGTTTACAAGCCCAAAAGACTACATTGTTTAAAAGAAAACTCTAACCTAGTGAAAACAAACTAAAATATCAGGCACCAAATTTAAAATCAACAGTTAACAGAGAAATAGTTACGATTTAGGCAAAATATAACAGAAAAAATAATCTCAAACTAAAAGGTAATAACTTTGTTTAAAAAGGGCTAAGGTTAAGCAAAAACACAAAAAAGTAAAAACAAATAAAAATAATGATAATGAGTGACAAATGTCTTATAATTTGAAATAGAAATTGACCAGGACATTAGTTTAAAAAAAATTAAAGAACATATACTGTCTTGAGGTGTAATAATTAGGCAAAAAGTAATTGTTTATGTAGAATAAAGTGAAAGAAGTGGGCATTCAATAAATTTAAATCAATATCCAAAAGAGTTTTTTTAAAAGTATGTCAGAAACAACAAACAGTTAGCAGATTAAAAAAACAAACAAAAATATGGCCAAAACTGAAAAAAACTGAAGACATTTACAAAAAGATGTATTCTTTATCTGTTGGCTCTCATTTGTTCTATTAACAAGAGCTCTTGAAAATCTTAAATAATATATGCTATATGTACTGTACATAGCAAAAGCTATCCCTTAGTTAGCTCAAAGACGGCAACATTTTATACATTTGTAGCGGAAACGATCAGAAAATACACTTACAACAACAGCAACAACAATACCACTAATAAAAATCATAATAACAATTACAACAGCAATAATAGCAGTACTAGAAGAAAAAGGGAACGACGGTCAATGTAGTTATTCAATATGTAGATCGACGTTAAAACGAACATTGAGGCTGCCGATTGTTTAACATTGTATAGATTAATTTTTAAACAAGACGTAATAAAACGTATCATGTTTATGTGATGTGGGGCGGGACTTAAACACCCAGAGCAGAAGCTACTTTCACTTCGCGGTGAGGTAACTTTTGGAGGACGGTCCCTGGGCGCTCAGTCACAATCTGTCAGTCAGACACAGCCGCTCATTCAGAGCCACAGCACGGCTGTGTGATGATGACTGTGTTGCTGCTCGGCTTCTCGTCATCCGTATGAGCTCCTCGTCCATTCATTTACAACATTTTACTCCACTCCACGTTAGTCCAGGGACCACGGCCTACTGCCAGCGCGGGGACACGGCAGGACAGGACGGGGGCGGACATGTCACCATGATGTGAAGAGTCTCCACCGAGATCAGTCATCATGAAGAGGCGAACCGATGAAGAGCTGACTGACTGACACACAGACCAGTCAGTGTCTGCAACAATAGGTTGGTCAGGTTTTATGCCATCTACTCTACATGTAGTTTGTATTAAAATTCAAAATGATTTTTGTACCTGTTTTCTTGCTGCGGAGGGCCGACTCTAGATTGTTCTAATTGGGGGCCGGGGGGTAGAACATTTTTAACGACTATAAACATGACTGTTACCACTGATGTGGCACAAGGTACGGGGGCATCTGACGTGTGTCACGTGTCCCATCTTGGTGCCATTGCACTTTTGTACACTTTGACTTTAACTGGAGCCAAAGCTAGAACAATCTGTTCATTTATAAGGAAACTAAATAGGAACACAGACATTCTCTCAGTTCGTACTGACTGTTTAATGTGGCAACTAGTAGAAGGAAGTAAATATAAATATATAAATAATTCAAGAGTTTGCAATCAATCAATCATCTTGATTAATTGCATATTTGATAAATAGTAAGATTTGAATTTAAATCAAATTCGACTGATAACCAACCAGACAGTAACAAAAACTGTTAATGTTCTTTTTTATGTCTCTTTATCTATCTACTACAAAGATTAATGCAAATTGAAAGTGAATTTCTAGATATCATATTGGACATTTAAAAACATTTTCGCCTCTGAACACCATCATTTGGTCTATAGGCTGGCTGCACCGTTGCACTGAACCACGACTGTTGTAGCTAATGCTAGCTATGGTGTTGATGATTGTATTACTTGTTTAAATTTTATTTGAACAAACTTTTCAAAAAGATCGTTTAACAAAAGTTCTTTTGTCTAGTAAAATTGAATTAAGGTGAGATAATGCGGGGATAAACACATCAAGTTTACTTTGATGCTAAAGCTCCACTAAACCAGAATGTTTGGCTCTTGTTAGACTGAAGAGCAATGGTCGGGCATTGCCCCATCACCCCTCCATCACCCCCCCAGACCAGGTCTGGACCCAGCTACGCTGCTGTTTTGTGGTCTACAGTCCCTGACATAATCCAAAATGTCTTTTTCATTCATTATATCAAAGTGAAGGTTGATCCAGAAATGAACTGCCACATACATTCATTAGGAGCTAAAAGTCTGCACTACGTTTGACAGTAAGCTACAGACGATGCAGCTCACATAGCATAAGTGTTATCTTACCAAAATCAATAGTGTAGAATTACTATAAGGGGAAAAACTACAGACAGATCCAGTCAGATGTGCTGTTTTCCGCCTGAAGGCAGTTTCATTACAGGAGATGTTTACTTGATGTTTTTATATTTCACTGATACGAAGTTCCTGCTTTGTATATTTACCTTGTGTGACCCCAGATGAAGCTTTGTGTTAACAGCGAAAACAACGCATTTAGCTGGAAGTGTGTCAGTAAAACCTGTGTAATAAGGTTTTTTTAATACTAATTATACCCTGAAAGCACTACTTCAGACATAATTAGTCTGAGTACTCTTCGTCCCATTTTAATGTTTACTATCTTTTCTGTGACAAACGGTTTATTGGATCTGACAGTAAGAATGATTTTTCACATGAATTGTCTTTATCTGACAGGTTGATTTGTGTCATCGTTCAGCGATAATTGTTTTTTTTTTTGTTTGTTTTTTTATTTTATGTACCAAACATTTTCAGTATAAGGAGTAACGGGAATTTGGTCAAATTATATAGTTTTAGCATTCAAACTTTTTTTAATAATAATATAAAATAGTCCCAGACTAATTAAATTCAAGTTTAGTCATTGATTTTCGACTGCTTCTTTTTTTCTTTTTTTTTTAATGGTGGTTCTCAAATGATCCAGTCCCTGGTCCCAGAGCTTTAACCAGTCAATAAGTCGTGACCCAAAAATGTGAACTACTCAAATGTGATAGTCAAACACAAAACCACTGATGGTGTCTTATGGCTATATGTACATCTTAAATAATTATTTTCAACATCTACATTTGAATCTGTATTTGAAGGTACGACAGAAGAAACAACAACAACACGGCTGTGTAGACAATTCTGTCCAAACAGAGTGATTTCAAAACAGATTATTTGACTTCTTTTGTCTTTTGTGTTCATAATATTACTATTGCTGTGCAACCAAGTTTGCTTCTACAGAAACATGACTTAGATATTTACTCGCCTTTATCACTTTATAACCTGTTGAGAGTACGTCTGATTTCCTCTCACACAGTGGCTGCAGCTCAGTTTTTTTTGTTTTTTGTTTTTTTTATCAATTCTTTTTTTTATCAAAGTTTTCATTCTCATGAAAATTGAGGCTTTTCATTAGCTTTTCATCAGAGATCTGGTCTATTCAAGAGTCTACAGCAAAACAACCTCAGCCCCATAATTGTTTTAACTGCTACATGCATCAAATTTCCTTTAAATAATCCTGTTGTTTTGCAAACTACTCTTTTTTTAGTTAATTATTTTTGTTGGTCCTCTCTGGTTTTAATCAGTAAGCGTACAAAATAAATCATACAGCCTTTTAGGAACAAACAGGAAGCCAGTGTGTGTCTTATCCTAATGTGTTAATATAGGACATATTAACCCCAGCTGTGTTTTCTTCTCTGTGCGGGTCAGCCAGCTGGCCGGTCGACCGTCTGGCCAGACAGCCTGTGTTCCGGTGTGCAGCCGAGGAGCTGACGGTAAATGAGAGGCCGCCACCATGCCCCCAGGGAAGTATGGGATGCAGGAGGAATGGGAGAAGGAGGGCGTCCAGGAGATAGTGATGGACTTCCTGTTGCCGACTGGGATCTTCCTCAAATTCCCTGTGTCTCGGAACGACACCATCAAGAACATCAAAAAAGTAAGATCACATTGAATACATTTAGAATTTCCACGGTGGCACCGTGTATCATGTTATCAAACTGTGTGTCTATGTAGGTTTCTAAAAGACAATGTAATACTGTCCTGATAGCAGCACGGCACAGACCTCAGTCACACACCACTCTTAATATTAACAATATCAGCCCAATATGCTTTTAACCTAATTGCTTGTCTTTATGTTTATTTATTAAGACATTAGTCTGATTGAAATGCAGGACAACGCTTGCTCGCTTGAGCTTCTGATTCATCTCAAATTTTTGACGTGGCTCTGGGAGGAGGAGTTCCACTCAGTTCGGTACAGACGGGCAGCTCAGTGCTGAAGCGGATCTGCTATAACACTTGAATGTGCCAGTTTCTATGCCAACACTTCTGCCACTACAGGCGGTTTGATTTAGCTCTGTTAAGTAATGAGACTCTTGGAAGCTGTGAAGATCATTAAGAGATTAAATGTTCTCTTAAGTCGTGAGTCATCTACAAGAAATTTAGGGAAAACAAAAACCTGAATACTAGTTGCTTTTGAGACAATAGTTGGTAGTTGTGGCTTGTCGAGTCAGTCACAAAATGAGTTGTTCAACAAAGCCATAGATGACGTTTGGATGTTTGGAAATGTAATAAGTTCATAAAATGAGTTGAAACGTCATTGTTTGTGTTGTGTCGTCATTGTGTTGTTTTGGAAATGTAATTATTAATATTATATTAATATTACATCTAAGTGCAATATATAATCCTAATAATTAACCATAAATTACTGGAATTGAACTTAAAAATAGGTCAATTAAATTAAATTAAATTAAAAAATAGCAAAAGTAATATGATAGATGTTTTTAAACAATACATTAGTCAAAAGATTGTAATTTTAATTGGGTATTTTAATTTTATTAATTTATCAATTGACTTTAAATTTTATTTAAACAATCATCTTTACTTGTTCAGAATCATAGGCTTACATTCATAGAATAAATCATTTGAACCTTTCATTGAGGACCAGAAATGTCCAATAGACACAATTTTAAACTTTTACCCCATGTGGCTTAGTTTAACAGCACATTCTGACCCATCTCCTCTGAACGTCTTTGCTGATTCTTCTATTTCCAGATGGTTTGGAGAAATGCGAGAAGCGAGGCCCTCTTCAGTGCCCTGGGAGATCCTGACGCATACGTCTTCACCTGCATCAACCAGACGGCAGAGCGTGAGGAACTGGAGGAGGAATCGAGGCGGATCAGTGATGTGCAGCCTTTCATGTGTGTTCTGAGGCTGGTGGCCAGAGAGGGCGACCGAGTGGAGAAACTCACCAACGCACAAATCAGCCTGCTGATCGGCAAAGGTAAGAACCGACTGTGCGGACCCTAATGAGTCAGAGCAGCTATGCGCTGCGTTTACTGAGAACAAAGGAAGAAAACTGTCTTTGTCAAAGAAGAAGCAGAGTTCTGTCAGAGCTGCCCAGGCCTGGATCCAGATCTCTCTATTACTGTGCACAGAGACACAATGAATACAATGACATGTGGTGGAATGACTAGTTCACGCTGAACTGCCATGTTTTTTCTTACCGTTATTCACTCCTTTACCAGTTCCAGTCAGTAGTTACTGACATTTCTCCCGTCATCTGTTGGTAATGATAGAGCATCTGTTTCAAAACAAAATTCCTGTTTGACCACTGAGGTGCACCGAGCATGGCACCGTCCCCACACACTGCGGTGGTCACATTTCGTTGTGAGCACTGCTGTGCTGTGTTACAATGACAAGTAATTTCCTTTCCTTCCTTCCCTTTAAACAAAGAATTACTTTCAAAGAGTTCTTTCTGCCACTAATGTTCTGACAAAAGTTTTGAAAACAATAGTATTAAAGCTCTGAATTAAAGACCTACAGCTTCTTGTATTAATTAATTTTTAAAAATGACAAAATAAAGTTGTTTACATCTAAAATCAGTCTTCTGTAACGAGGTGCGAAAAAGTTGTTTTGCTGTTAGCAAGCAAAACAGTCACAACACAGACGCATCTGAAAGTTACGAGTGTACAGTGTTATGAGCAAACAAATAAAGCATGACAATCAATGCAGTATTTATTGCATATACTGTAGGTTTGATTGTTTTTAAATGAGTCATATCAACATAACAGTCGGTCGGTGAAATAATTTAAATGATAGTACTTTTTATTTAAGGTTTCCACAGACGCCCCTCTATGTTTGAGAATCATTTAGTTCTAAACTCTTCTGTTCTATTTTATGACACGATTGGTTCTGAAGGTGTAGGATCATTTTTTCTACATTTAAATAATTTGCATCACATCGGCACTGTCCGGTACGTTTGACTTTTCGCAGGCCTTCATGAGTTTGAGGCCCAGAAAAACCATGAAGTGAATGAGTTTCGGCTAAAGATGAGAACATTTTGCGAGGATAAGGCTCTGGAGCAGCAGAGGTTGCCATGGCAGCAGTGGATGGAGTACAGTTTTCCCACTGACCTGGAGCCGTGCGGCTCACCTCCACAAAAGTCCAAAAACATCAAGAAGATTTTCATCATCGTCAAGTTTGAGGCGTGCGATGTGAGTGGACTTTTCTAAAGTTGTTCTTATGAGTCATGTTGTTATGTTTGTAAAGGCTGTTCTGATGACAAGTCAGATCAAAGGTTCTAGGTATGATGGGACACGGCTTTAAGTGGTTAAAAAAACATGATTTCACTTTGTGTTGACAAAGTGTAAAGTTTATGTTTTGAGTAAATGTCAGCTCTTTCGGAAATTCCCCTCCTACTACACAAGCACTGCATTCAGAACATCTCTCCGGGAACACGGTGCACGGTCACTGACATCAGGCCTAAAATGTCTTCCACAGGAAAGCTTCATGCTGCAGCAGAATCCTCAGGACAACCCTGGGGCTCTGATACGGAGCGCTCTGAAGAAGAAGGCCACCGTCTTCCGCTCAATGCGGCAGGAGCCCGAGGATTACACTTTACAGGTCAACGGGAGGTGGGAGTTCATTTATGGGAAACATCCACTGTGTCAGTTCAAGGTGAGTCACTTTAACAACACATTTTATATTTGGTTTTTCCACAATTTGTGATAGGGTAGATTTTGATTTTATTTTATTATATTATTTTATGTGTTGATTAAAAGTAATGGATTGTCCAATCAAGTTCTTTTGGCTTATATTTTTATATATTGCCAGTGTAAAAATGTACAATGGTCATAATTTCAGGACTGTGTTTTCACACAGAACTCCATGTATGATTCAGCAAGACAATACCAGACCTCTCTCTCTTCGAAATTACAAAAGTGGAGACAACTCCACTAGTAGAGCTGCAAAAACTACTTGTAAAATACTAATTGCAATTACAGCGCTTTAAAAAATATTTATTGGGTTTGTTGCTGTTAGCATGAAGCTTAACCAACATCCACTTTTTTGGAGCCTGTCCCACTTGCCTCCAGGCCAACATGAGTCCAGATGTAATACAATTTATTTTGGTTGCCTGCTGTCTTTCTCTTCCTGTGAGGATGCAACTACAACAAGGTATTTCCTCTGTTTTCTGCTGTTTATCTGTCAGTGCAGGTGAACAGTCAGAAAACAACCATAAGATCAAGATTAGGGTTAAGTCAGGGGTTTTGATGGCAGGGGACTTCACTGATGGTTTCAGACCCCAGCTACCTGCAGGGGTTGACTCGTATCAGCCCAGCAGCCCATCAGAAAGTAAATGAATTTATGAAAACATAATCACATTTCGTCTGCATTAACCCTCAACAAATGAACGGCCTGCAGGACTTCTGATTGCTGCCAGTACGCTGGCAAATATCTGTCGGTGAACTGAATGATGGCTGCACCAGTAATCAGATGTCTGTCTCTCTCTCTCTCTCTCTCTCTGTCTCTCTCTCCCTCACCCTCTCTATCTACCTCCAGTACATTTTCTCATGTTTGACAAATGGCCAGAACCCTCATCTAATCATGGTGCACCGCTCCACCATCAGCAAGTACCAGGAGGAACAGGGTAGGATGTGCAGCCAGGTGTTCAAGAGTCACTCCTCATCCAGACCTCCTCCACTGCCTCTGAAGAAGGTAAGAGGTCAGCAGACGTCGTTTGTCTCTTGTTAACAGAGCACTTTGTATCTCCAAGTCCCGCAGTTGTTGCCCTGGAGACTGTCAGTGGTTGAACTGAATAGCATGTTGTGTATTGTTTTTTTTTCCTATTTCCTTGTTGTAGTAACACTTCTGTGCCCTCGTACTTTAGTGTATGCTCTCAAAGAATTTAAAAAGAATGGAAGAGAAAGAAAAACCCTGAAAATCATTTTTTTTTGGTTTTTCTACAACAGTGCACGTCCTCTCTGTGGTCCATCAATGAGCCATTCTGCGTTCAGCTGCTGCAGGGCATCCGTGTCAACGCAGATGAGGGAATGAAGGTCGGTTGTGGTTTCTGCATGTTTTTTTTTCCCTCTTACTTTGGTGCTCAATGAAATGTGTCGTTCACTTGTTTACCAATATCTTAAATTCAGTTGTAGGAACTGCGGGGTTGACATATAAATGATAGGGGTGTCACATGGTCCAGACCACACGTTTCCCATAATTCATCAAGGCGGTTGGTTAAAACTTCAAAACAGGAAGTGGGGAGGGCCTATCTGTTTTTTTAAGTCTCATTCTGAGGCCTACATTCTAAGAAAAAAAACTTATGCTGCCTTTACCCCTCTCGCTTTGAGTGCTTCTCTTGTTTTTTTTATAACGTTACATTTGTTACCACTTCTTTTTTTTCTTTGGTTTCTATACTTAAATATCTATAAATGTTTTTTCTTTCACTTTGGAAGTTCTCACCTAAAGAAAGATTCCTCAGTTAATGTGTGTCTGTGTTGGTGACTCAGTTTCATAACTGACAGTGTTACTGTTTAGTTGGCTCATTAGGTCTAAGTGAACTCCTGGCTTCTGTCTCAGAGCAGTATGACTCATAGTAAATTTGTCCTGTCACCTAATTGTCAGTACCATGTGGCTTCAAAACACCTTCAAAAATTTTCTCTAATTCGACTTTAACTTTAGCAATGTTCTGCTAACTTTTACAAGTTTTTAAATTTTCATCCAAATGTTATTTTTTTATGTAATTATTAATTAATCATGCAGTATCCTGTTCTGGCTTTAATTATTCTTTTATTTTGTATAGTTTTATATTTTTTAACAGTTTCTGTTAACTTATTTCAACTCGTTTGCTCTATTTTGTCTTATGTATGTATAAAAAATTAACTTTTGTCGACCTTTAACTAGTTCTAGCTAGTAAACACTAACCTTGCTAAGGTTACTCTTTTTGGCAATCTTTGTCTTTTGGCTCTGTAACATTTATTTAATGGGGCGACTAAAATGCTGATCATTCAGTAGTGTAATAAAATAATCAATTTATAATTGTCTGTGTTTGCTGAGCCTTTTCTCTCCAAGGGACAATTATCCTGCAAATTTCTGATGCTAAAACTAACATCTCCATTTAACAAAGCACAGGCTCCTGATGGTTGTGAAATATATATGTATGATTTGATTGTTGATTTGTTTTTCACACTTGAATCAAAACCCATGGTATGAATGTGTAGACCCCCTGACTCATAGTGACACAGGAAACCAAATCATCTCGTGAAGACTGCACATCTCCTACAAACAATGTTGTTCATAGATGTTGGGCTAGCTGAGCTTAACTCTTCAGATTCCAAACCAAATGCCGTACCCTCACCTAATCATCACTGTGTATGTGTTTGTTTGTGTGTGTTTGCCCTGCAGCTCGTAGTACAAGCGGGTCTGTTCCATGGCAGCGAACTGCTGTGTAAGATAGTGACCAGTTCCGAGGTGACGGTTTGTTCTGAGCCCCTCTGGGATCAGAAACTGAACTTTGACATAAACGTGGCTGACCTGCCTCGAATGAGCCGTCTTTGTTTCGCACTCTACGCCGTCATTGAGAAAAACAAGAAACCCCGGGGCACAAAAAAGAAGAACAAGAAGGCGGTAAGTTTGCCAGCATCTTTTGGGCCATTTTTAACCTTGAGTGCACTGAGTTACATAGGAGAGAGTGGGTGTTGGGGTTGGGGTTCATGAGTGTGAACTTGTTTTCATGCACAAACACATCGGTTTCCTCTCTGGTGTATGTAGTGTGTGTAGTCACAGTGTGCCGTGTGGGTGTATTTCTCTGCTGCCTTTGGTTGTGCAAGTGTGTTCAGTGGCAAGGCTGCGGTTAGCATTTCATCCGCTTCAGCCCTTTTATCTGTACATCACTCCAAGGAAGGAAGGAACTGAAAAACATTTTTCAAGGAATTCTAAATTCATCCTCACGGTCAGGTTTCATAGATAGATCACTGACAGAGAGGTCGCGGAACATTTGACATTTCAATACACTCTTTAATTTATGCAGCTGCACAGTTGAAAGTAGAGACCAGAAAACACAGCAAAACCAATTCATTTTCCCGTCACTTGCACTGTCTGTCACTCAGGGCTTTAAATAACACTGGAAAATTCAGACATCAACAAATGTGATGAAAGAAGATAACAAGAAGTACAGTGTGAAGCAACATCAAATAAATTGATGTACTATTAATAGATTTTAATAGAGTCCTGATGCTGATTAGTTAAATTATGCAACATAAATGGTTTAAATAATAATAAAACAATATAATTATTTCATATTGTGCTGGATGATGATAGGTTTAAAAGGAATTCACAATTCCCAAACAAGGTATGAAGGGATATCTGTGCAATAATTGTACATAATAACTTAGCAAAAAATAAAAAAATGCAATAATAAAGAATATGAATTGTATTTCAATTTGTTTAAAAAAATAAATGTGTTAGCTAAAGGTTTTGGAGGTGTTTACAAAACAACAGAGACAGACTGAAGTATCAAAGGAAGGAAATAATAAAACTGTGTTGAAGGACTAAAGTAAATAAAATAATGTGTCATTTGCCAAGGTGGTGCCTTGTGGTGCAGTGTGGGACTTTAATGCCGTCAGTCACAGACAGTCTGAGCTCCGTCTGATGAATGTTCCAGCAGAGCTCTAGTCTGCAAACAATAATGTGCATTTGGCAATAGTCTCAAAGCCATTGAAAATTTACTTTATAACTTGGAGCATCTATTCTACACAATGTCCTTGAACAGACGCAAGCTTTGTTTTTAACAGCAGCATTGGCGACAACTTGTATTTTGCATTAGAAGTTACGCAATCTTCTAGATTCTAGATAAGAATGTGGTGTTTCTCCTTTTGGTTTCAAACAAGAGTGAACATTCAAATATTTATCTTTTTTTATTTTGAGTATTCTTGACATCGTCAAAATAATTTATGGAGAAATTGCTGTTCAGTGTGGATAAAATAGTAGGTAAAGTGTATTTCCTTCCTGTTACATGGACATTGTTTCAGTTCTGTACTGTAGCAGACACTAGTACACACACTGTTACTCACACTGTACTGCGTACAGTGAAAAACAGTGAACGATTTCCAATTCCTCTTTTGTGCGGCTTTACTCTGAGCTGCTTTTGTTGTTCTGAGTCGCAGCTCTCCACAAACACGGTGCCCAGGTGTGTCTTACTGGTATTGACATTTCTGCTTCCCCTTTCTCAGCTTCTCAACTTCCTTCTTCTGAGCAACTTCTCTTTGTATGAGCGAGAAGTCCTGTTAAAAGCCGGTTGGACGTTGCGTTTCTTTACTCGGCTTCTTGGGTTTTTTTTTTTTTTCGCGTTTACATAATGAGTAGGAAGTTTTTTTTTTCTGGTCATTGCCTAGAAATCTTTGATCTTGTTTTACAAAACTTTGTGCTTCAGTCTCACACGGCTGTTGTTTAATTACATAAACAAAAAAAAAAAGCAAACAAGATGGTTTTCTAGGTGATAGACTGACTTTAACTGCTGTCCTGATTTAAATTCAGTTCAAAAGTGTTGAATGTACAAAGATTTTATACATAATTGAACTGAAAAGTACAAAATTAATCTGTAACTTTAAAGACTTGTATGGGGATATTAATATCAACAGGGAGGCTGCCCTCTGCCTGTAATTTCCAGTCTCACAAAGTTGATTGTGACTTGATTATTGGAAATGTTTTTTTTAAGTGTCTCTGTTCTAAGTTAAAAATATCTAAACCAGGAAACTCCCATTTTACCTTAGAGTGAGAAGACAGTGGTAATTTGTAAATCTTGTGCTTTATATGCAAATCTTGTGCTGTTTGTGAGGACAAGCCAGACTTCTTGTCACCAATGGCCTTTGGTGCCAGGAGGAGTGGAGGCTGTATGCAAATGGGTTTGTGTATTGGCTTTTGTATTGCATATTGTACATGTGGAGCCTAGTGTTCTGGTGGAAAAGAACCTTGAAGGCATCAATGATATTGAAAAGCATTGCAGTCTAACACATGTAGGAGGGTGAGTGGGGGTGGTCCGGTCACTAATTAGAATTCTTAGAAAATCAAGAAGAAGAAAAAAGTGAACTACTTGTCACCCCATCACCAAAATGAACACTGGGCAGCTTTAAGCGCCCGGGGGAGCAGTGTGTGTGGACGGTGCCATGCTCAGAGCACCACAGTGGTAACTTGGCAGCTGGTGGACTCAAACGTGAACCTGAACCTGAACCTTGACCCAAGGCCACTTCCTTAACCACTAAGCCACCACTGCCCTGAAGATTGTGTCAGCCCTTCAGTGTAAAATGTCCCTCAGTTACCAGGCAGATTACTGCAGTGGCCGCTGAATGTATCACTTGTGGAGAAAGGTTTAAAATTATATTATTATAGAATAGAAATAGAATAGAAATAGAATAGAATATTAATAAACAATCACATGGATAAGGCTGTCAAACAGTGACTATAGCTCCCCCTGCAGAGTATTCTGGAGTTAAGCAACACTGAAGACAATGTGCATAATTGACCTGATTCCAGTGAACCACTGAAAATTGGACCAACAACCATCTCCGTCTTTCCTTGTCCTTCCAGGACTGCCCCATCGCCTGGGTGAACACCATGGTGTTTGACTATAAGGACCAGCTCAAGACTGGAGAAGTCATCTTGTCCATGTGGCCATCTGTTCCTGGTACTGTTCACCATCTCCTTCTCCCTATTAAAATCTGCCGTACAGGAAAAGATAGGAACATCTATCATATACAGTATTTCATGTAT